TCCCACCAGCTGCCCGAAGCCCGCCCCAGCCGCTGCTCAACGGCCCGCCCCAGTTCAGCTCCACGCCAGAAATCAAGGTGAGCCTGCCCCCTCTGCGTGGGGGATGGGGGGCACAGTTACAGAACTTCCTCCCACCCACCCTGTCTGTCACTTCCAGGCGCCCGAGCCCCTGAGCAGCTTGAAATCCATGGCAGAGCGAGCAGCCATCGGATCCAGTATAGAGGACCCAGTGCCATCTCTCCACCTGGCTGAAAGGGGTGAGGACTCCTGGGTTCTCTCTCCAGCCCTGGGAGGGGAGTGGGGTCTAGGGGTTAGAGCAGGGGGCTGGGAGCCAGGACTCCTGGGTTCCATCTCCTGCAGGCTTTCGGGCCTTGCTGGAGCACAGGAAGGGGTTCCACCCACGCACATGATGTCCCAGCGCAGCTGACTGCATTGTGAAACATGCAGAGTTCCAGGTGAGGGATCCCTGTAGGACCAGCCCCTGCGCCCCACCCGAGAGGTTGCTGTATCTCGGCGCCGGGCGAGAAACTGTTGCATAAACTGGTTTTAAAGCTTTGCGCTCCCAACGCTCTCTGAGGAATCTAACAGGCTGTCTGTCATCTGTCCCCCCAGCAGACATTTTAATTAGTAGCACGACCTCGCAGCCGCCCTCCAGCCAGCCGCCTATCCAGCTGTCGGAGGTGAACATCCCTCTCTCCCTGGGGGTCTGCCCCCTGGGACCGGTGCCCCTCACCAAGGAGCAGCTCTACCAGCAGGCCATGGAGGAGGCAGCCTGGCACCACATGCCTCACCCCTCGGACTCAGAGAGGATCCGGTAAGGCACAGTCCCTGGGGCGTTGGGGGCTTGGAGAGAGCAGGACTCCTGGGTTCAGTCCTTGACTTTGAGCAGGGAGTGAGGTCTAGTGGTTAGAGTGGAGGGAACGGGGGGTGGGGGGGTTGCTGGGATCCAGGACTCCTGGATTCTGTCTCCAGCTTCAGGAGGGGAGTGGGGTCTAACAGAGCGGGGAGGAGATTGGGAGCCAGGACTGCTCTGTTCTGTTCCCAGTAGACGCCGTGCTGCTTCCCCTCCCATCAGGCTGTCTAACCCCCTTCCCCCCACCCCCGCAGGCAGTACCTGCCCCGGAACCCCTGCCCGACCCCCCCTTACCACCACCAGATGCCTCCACTGCACTCAGACACCGTGGAGTTCTACCAGCGGCTCTCAACGGAGACGCTCTTCTTCATCTTCTACTATCTGGAGGTACAGAAGGGCCCCCTCTGCAGGCTAGAGCGCTCTATAGTCCCGCCCTGTCTGGCCGCCGCTGCCGCCTTTCCCTCGGGCAGGAGGGGCGAGGTGGGTGACTGCTGCCAACGTGCCCCCCCCCCCACTGCTCTGGCTTTGCGCATCGGCCACCTGACACCCCCCCCCGCAGGTGCGGATGGTACGCTCCATCCCTCCCCCCCATTGATACCTGCAGAGACTCATACCCCCACGCCCCCCCCCTTGGCCACCTCCAATTCGTATGTGCAGGGGGGAACTTCCCTCCCTGCAGGTGTGAATGGTATATTCCCCTCCCCTGACATTGGCAGGTGCCAAGACACACACACACACACACACACACACACACACACACACCAGTCTCTGGTATGTGGGAGGGGATCCTCCCCCCACCCCCAGGTGCTGACAGTACTGTCCTCCCTGACCATCCCTGTGATTGGTACATGCCGAGACATACATCAACAACAGGGGACAAGGGGTGTGTATGCCAAGAGTTCCCCCCGCCCCCCATGCCTAGAGCATTTGGTACATGCTGAATGGTGCTATCGCTTTATTTACCTGCTGCTGGCTGTGTAGCTAGTTGTCTGCCTCCCCCAAAAGAAGACGGCTAATGGTACATTCCCCTTCTCCCCTGCTGCCTTTGGTATTTACCAAGCCACTGCCCACCCCCACACTAGTGGTATGGGCTGAGCCATGCCCCCAGGTCCTGTGGTCTGGTCCTAGCTGCCTCCTGTGTCAGTGGTACATGCCAAGTCATTCCTGTACCTCCCCAGGTCCAGTAGTACATGCCCAACTACCCCCTGAGCCAGTGGCACATGCCATCTGCTACCCCCCCCAATCCAGGCCCTGGGCGGGGGTCCCCCTGCCCCAAGTGCTGCCCCCCGCTGGCCAGCGGTGTGACGCGCCTGGTTCTCTCTCTCTAGGGTACCAAGGCGCAGTACCTGGCGGCCAAAGCCCTCAAGAAGCAGTCGTGGAGGTTCCACACCAAGTACATGATGTGGTTCCAGCGGCACGAGGAGCCCAAGACCATCACGGATGAGTTTGAGCAGGTTAGTGCCTCCCCCTCCCCCTGGGGCCCACAGGAAAATGCAGCCACCTCTGGGGTGGGGCCACTGACCTGGGGGAAGGGAGTCAGTCAGTCACAGCAGACTCCTCCATAACACAGCAGCCCTCTCAGCCCTAGTGCCCAGGGGGAGACCCTATAATAAACTGGGACGTACCCCACTCTGCATGCAGCTGAGACCCTCCCGTAACAGCCCAGCATGCTCAGGCTGAAATCAGGCAGTGGTACATGCAGCACCACAGGCTCTGCTTGTCTGTCCGTCTGCTGATGCCTCTCCCCCTCCACGTTCCCCCCCTCAGGGCACGTACATCTACTTCGACTATGAGAAATGGGGCCAGCGGAAGAAGGAAGGGTTTACTTTCGAGTACCGCTATCTAGAAGACCGCGACCTGCAGTGACGCCTGCTCAGCCCCCAGGGGGCGCCAGCCTTCCAGAGTCACGCGGGCGGGACATTGGGGCATGGGGGGGACGAGAGGCCAAGCTCACCTCCCCCACCCCCATTCCACCTCACCACCCCCAGGCGGGGCCCCCTCCAGCCATCCGAACCCTTTAAATGCATGCAGTTTTAAAAGACAAGAACAAGGGGGGGAGGGGCTGTGAAGAGAGGGGAATCAG